GTTGGCCATTAGCCGTGTATTAGTCGACGACCAGACTTGTTTATATTGAAAAGTGCTACATACCAAGGGGATACATTGTATGGTCACGACTTGTGTTATTACGTATGTGGTTGGTTTGGGTTTGTAGAAAGTGGGAACATATTGAGCGGTGTGGCCTACCATAGGTGCGCATTGCAAGAGCTTGTGTATAACAAGTTTTCAGGTTCGTAATGTTTGCAGTCAAGTTCAAGCCCGGGAGGCTAGTACCAAAATGAACCAAGTTGCAAATTTTACTTATGCTATATTGAAAAAATGATAAACAGTCTGCTCAACTGTCCAGTGATAAGTTAGCCAGTATAGTTGCGCTACACTTGTAAAGTCCCGGATTCTATCCTCATTTTTTCGATGGATTTGTATTGCTGATGAGATGCAGTCACGTCAAAATAACTGTAAACTACTTACTAGCTTTTCAGTTCAAGGTTCATTTGTTATGTACGCGGTGAAATTCATGATATAATCGAATCATATCCTCCACTGTTTTCATGTTATAAATCCTTTGTTGATCAAATGGTTATGTAATGTGAACAAATGGAGATGATACGAGACCTAGCGGGTGATTGACTTTGGTGACGGAACTGCAGTACCGCTCGTGGAGCGACAAGTGGTTCAGGGTTGCGAAGAAACGCCGTTAGACCATTCCTCCGTGGGTAGTGGTTAAAGATAAACCCGCAAGGCAAAGTCAACAGAAGAACGCGAAGAAACCAAAACGGTCAAGTGAGATGCAAACAATCATGATAAAATATTACTGGCATGATTGCTAAGCCTTACCGTTACAGGCATTTTATGGCATTCATTTAACCGCACATTAGAGAATACACCTTCAACATCCTTATTTTTTCAATCTGCAACTAAATGTGAATCAGATTCTTCAATCCATTCCAGCAATCACCGACGGAATACAAAATTCGCTTCGTAAGGAGGTGGACATGCGGTTCCTTTTTCAATGCTCAGGATACAATCATCGACTGGTACATAAGTTACCCGGGTTTATTAAAGCAATTTACGTCAATCAGATTGTGTGATTGACTTAACTAAAGTCTTAAGCCAACCAACCATATAGCGACTTTGAGGTTGCAAAACCAACAGGCTTAAGGAACACTATCCGCGAGGCCTTTTTTCTTTGAACACTTCTCTTAACGATCCTCGATGAAATAGATATAACACCACTTCGTGTTGAAGATACTGATTTTTTTTTGCCTCTGCACGTAATCCGTGATCCTCACAGTGGTACACGTTCAGTTTCAGTTCAGTTTGTACAATCATTGACCCAGCATATTTGTGCGCCGGTTTTGGTTACTGTCTTTTGGCTGCCCATTTGGATGAAGAACAGGAGAAGAAAGGAAACTTGAAAGTGGAGTCGAAGAGAATATGGAGAAGTTCAGTGGTCTAAGGCTGCAAAGACATTGAAAAGATGCACGAACGCCACTGGTTCCGACACAACCATATCACTCCGTGTTTCTAACCATCGGTTACGATCATCCCGAGGTCCCCAGCCAGGGAGCCTAACAGGACCTATGCGACCCAGTTTCCTGGTTAGGGTTTTCAT